TGCTAAGCTTGAACCTCTTTCCCATCGTCGTAAAGTTGCATCTCTTTCTCTTTTCCACAAATACTATCATGGTCACTGCTCAAAGGAGTTATCATCTCTAGTTCCATCAACTAAAATTCATTCTCGTTTTACTTGTCATTCAGCTAAGTCTCATTCGTTTACTGTATCTGTCCCTGCATGCTGTAAAATCTTTTATTCATCTAGTTTTTTTCCCCGCACTTCAATCCTTTGGAACTCTCTCCCATCTTAATGTTTTCCTGACTCATACAACTTTCAACTTTTCAAGTCTTCTGTCAACCGTTTCCTTGCTCTATATCTCTGTTCTTTTTTTTTTTCTAGTAACTCCCAACTTAATAGTGGTTGCTTGCAGCCTTGTTGGGAGCAAATGCAAATAAATTAAAAAAAAAAAAAATGTTCAAATACATTTTTACAACTTTCAAAAAAGTTACCCCCAAATTTCAAAAAGTAATTCCATTCTCTTCAGCAGTTTCTGTACAAAAAATTTCAGAAATATTCCATTTTTCAAAAGTTTTATTCAAAATGTTTGATAAATAATGATAATTTGATAAATTTAAAAAAAGTTAAAGAAAGTTTAAAAAGAAAATTTAAAAAGAAAAGATTGAATATTTGATTTGTTAAAAACATTAAACCCCTTATAAAGAAAATGTCATTAGGAAATAACAAATAACTATCATAAGATAGAAGTTTATTCCTCTTTATAAAAAACACAAAAAAGAGGTAATTTGAGTTTAAATATGCAAATGAGCTTGTGCAAAAGTGTTTTCAGGAAATTAGAAATTAGATGTCAGCTCAAGGTCAGCGAATGAATTATTCTTTAGAATATTATTCATTCACAGAATTATATTCAAAAGTTATAACCAGCTTTGGGTTAATCGAAGACTAAAGTTTCTATGGTTGTTCTTAAAAAATGTCTAAAAGCAACAAAAAAAAAAGCAATTATGCTCGCTGAGCGCAATGGAAGCATGAGTGTAGCTGAAATTGCATCAGACCTGAATACAACTATAGATGCACATCAAGTTAGATGATCAATGATTAGGTAGCTGATAAAGGAAAAACAACTCAATTTGTACCTTGCAACAAAGAAGCCACTACTAAGCATCAAAGACTGTCTCAAGCAAATAAATTAGTACAAAAAAAAAAGCTGCATTGACTGAAGAGCTATGGAGAACAGTAGTTTTTGGGGAAAAGTTGAACTTTGAACTTATCTATTGCATAGTAGTATATAGTGTAGTGTACCATAGTGTAGTGGTAAAGCACTCGCTTTATAAGCGGGTCTAGGGATAGTGTTTTAGTGGTAGAGTGCCACTAAAATACTATTCGTCTATCCGTCCTTTTGATTTGAATCCTATTGAGAACATTTGCATATATGAGAAATATGCAAAAAAACAAAAATATTTTTTAATTGTGTTTTCTTTTTTTCATTATTTTATTGTTTTCAAATAATACCTCTTTGAAGTTGACTAAGGTGAAAAAATACTGTGTGCACTAATACTTTTTGGAAACACTATATATATATGTATATATGTAAGTATATATATTTATATTTATATACATATAATATATATATACATATATTATATGTATTTAATATACATATATAAATATATATATATATATATATATATATATATATATATATATATATATATATATATATATATATATATATATATTTATATATATATATATATATATAAATTATATATATAATATAAAATATATATATATATAAATATATATATATTTATATAAAAAAAAGTCTCTTTCAACAACATTTAAGTACCATCTATAATGAGGCTACAATTTAATGTTGTCTAAAAGTTAAAACAATTTAGGTAATGCGGAGGTACATTAAGTTTTATCAATTAAAACAATTGCAATAATAATAATGACAAGAAAGTTTTTTAATTAAAAGTTTGTTTTTCTTGTTTTGTTTCATTATATTTTCAAAACCTGCTAGAAGTGTTGCTACATTGACTGAAAAATAGGTAAAGTATTGGAGGAAAGTGTTGCTAATATGCTTAAAGTGTTACTACATTAACTATCTTATAGCCTGTTGCTTACATATATATATATATATATATATATATATATATATATATATATATATATATATATATATATATATATATATATATATATATATATATATATAAATATATATATATATATATATGTGCAAAAAACAGGCTATAAGATATATATTAGGGTGGCCCTTAGCTGTATTGAAATTTTCAAAAGTGAAAATGTTGCACCTCCCAACCCCCAATCCTGTTTCAATCAACCAAATAAGGAACTGTGTAAATTTTCAGCTCAATCGGACAACTGCAAGGCGACCCTCAAATGTCTTTAAGTTGGAACATAATATGCATAATGATTAATTCCGTTCAAAAGCAACATACTCTTGTCTATATCGACTATGTTTTTATTTACTACACCAAAAAGCTATAAGGCAAAAGGCATTTTTATGTACAACAATAATGTCCATAGAATCAAAACATAATGTGAACCAATGAACCTTGAACATAAATGTTTCATAAGACAGTTGGGTACTTTTTACGGTCTCCGGCAACAATCTGTAAAACAAATTGTTTCTCAGTTTCGTCTTTGGTGAGAATGTTATTATAATCCTGAATGAGTTTAACTCCTCTTTCCTCAACATTATTCACAACCATTATTTTCTTAAGTTTTTCGATTCCACTTTTTTAACCAGGATCATCCTTCCATACTGAAGGGTCTTTGTTCAGAAAATTGGTGCTGAGAGAAAATCTGTTGAAGAATGTTTTTGTACCAGGAGTTAACAGAGATGGAAATTTGATGTTTGCAAAGGAAGAAAAGTCTTTTTCGGTAAGAATGTATCTCTTGACTTGATTTTTTTCTTCCTCAGCTTCTTCACCTTTGTTGAGCAAAACTTGAGCCATATTTGTCTTAACTGCTGGTGGAACATTGTCATCAAATAAGGTGAGAGCAACACTTCCGAGAACTAAGTACCAGAGATGGTTGGAAAATTTATTTGCTGCAGCCTTACTGACTTGTGAATCTATGTCTTGATAATTAATCAGTTGGCACATGAATAGGAAATCATGAAATGGTGCTGTAATTGCTTCTGATGATATAAACCAAGCTTGAGCGTACACTCAAGCAAGGAACATACATATTCTTCTTAAAGAATTCTTCTTTGTATGTGATAACTGAAATTGATTTTGAAACAGGTATATCTTGAATGCATAAATTGCCTTTGCTTTCCATCTAGCATGACTTACAGCTCCTGGTATACAAAACGATATTCCGTTCTTTGGAATGCCGTCAAGATAGATCATTGTTAACTCCAACACTTCTTGGTAATTATCTCTCTGCTGTTTTTGTGTAGAAAGGTAGTGTTCAACAAATCCAAGAATGGTAGAGTGGACATCATCAGGCACTTCATTACTACCAGTTATATAAACATTCTTGTTGAGTTTCGTCCAGGCTTCTCTAAATCTTTTGTTGGTTAAACCCCACTTCTCCACTGCTTGATAAGCAGCCATAGCTTGCTCTTCAACTGAAAATGTTTAGGTTTCAGGGACTCGCAACAATTGCTCGTTGCCTTGAAAAGTTACTATTATTTCCAGTCTATCTACCTTTTCAACACCAGTGAGTGCTGGGAGCAGCTTTCCATCCCAGTGTAGCACTAATTCTTGGCAATCATTTAGGTTAAAGTTTTCCTGAATTTCTGAGTGTTTTGCTTCTCAAAATTTTTTTCTAAGGCGTTGAAAAGAAGTGCGATTTATCACAAGGTTTTCAGTATCACATCCGAAAGCTTCGCAGCAGCCATTAATATTTAAACCCCATTTCTGTGAGTAATTTTGCACCTATCAAAAACTTCTGCAAGACGGGTAGTGAAAAATGGTAATGTACCTCTTTTTGTAGAAAGAGTACCAAAATGTTGTTCATAAAATGTTTCATAAGAAACCTTTTTCTCCTGTCTCCATTGCAGTGCGCTTCAGTGCCCTTTCTTCCTTGTGTTTTAGTTTCTAATCCACACCAAGCATACACCCTGGTCGTCCTTTTTGGCACTGAAGGATTAAGAAATTCTTATCCTCTTCATTTTTCATCTGTTCCAAAGCTTCTGAATGATCAAACAGATCATCCATATTGTCTACAAAGATATCTCTTTTTTCTTTGTCTTTGCCTGCACCTCTTGTCAAATTCTTTTGTAAGCCTTTCCATTCATCATACAGTTTCAGTAACTTCTCAACATTGTGGTCAGTTCTTTTAGTAGGAATTCCTGCTTTTTGCTAAAAAATGAAAACTTCTTGAATCACCAGTATTGCACTTTCCTTTGTTGTAAGCTTTACAACTCTTACATTGTAGAAGAAAACGCATAAAACTTGCCGGTTCAAAGGCAATTTTGCTCCGACGATTTGATTTGAGATGTAGCCAACAAGACAGACATGAAAATCTTTTTTTAGCTTCTGTGACAAACTCCCAGACAAACTTGATGCCATTTTACTGTCTAAAAAGAAGACAATCTAAAAGTCACTTTACATGAGCAGCACAAACAGTTTTCAAAACAGTTTTTAAACTTTTCACCTCAAAAATGACTCTAAAGGCATAAATTTCGAAACTTCATGGACAATGAGGGTCGACTTGCAGTTGTTCGATTACGCTAAAATTTAGTATAGATCATTATTTTCATGATTGGAACAAGAAATGGGGTTGGGAGCTAAACAATTTGAAAGTTTAAAAATAAGGGCCACCCTAATATATATATATATATATATATATATATATATATATATATATATATATATATATATATATATATATATATATATATATATATATATATATATATATATATATATATATATATATAAATATATATATATATATATATATATATACACACACACACACACACATATATAATTTATAATAAAATTGTTGTTATTTAAGATCAAAATCACTATATTCATAAAATTTCATTTATTTATCAGCCTTTTCACCTGACTCTAAATGTCCTTTGGATCAGTTTGGTAAGCTATTCATTAAAATTTTTTAATTTTATTATTTAATCTTAAAATTTTTTATTTGTTTAATTTAAAATCTAACTCAATAGTAATATTGTTATAAATTAGTAAATAATAATTTTAAGGTGCTTACTCAAATGACAAAGAGAATGGAAATTGTCAAAAGATTAAGTGGAATCCGACTGTAAGTTTTAAAATTTAGTGTTTATCTGAATTTATCTAAAATTTAGTGTTTATCTGAATTTATCTAAAGTTTAGTGTTTATCCTACTGTAAGTTTTAAAATTTAGTGTTTTAAAATTTAGTGTTAAGAACTGAATTCAGAATTTAAAATTGAATTCTGAATTCAATTCTGAATAGAAGAGAATGTGAAAAAATAAATTTGAAAAGTTTTGTTTATAAAGGGGAATGATATGTCAAAAAAGTATTATGGAATACCAATATTTGCACTAGCCGATGGAGAAGAAATTAATGAGCTCGTCAAAGTTTGTTATTTTGGCTTCTTTTTTAATTTTTTTTTCTTTGTAAATATTGAAAATATTTAAGTTGTTTGCTTGATTCATTATAAAATATTTAGTGTTACCAAAAGCACAACAAGCTAAAGGAAGCAGAAGCAACTCCTAGTTTTCCACTTTGTGCAATTGAAATGAAAGACTTTATGTTTGCTTCCAAAGACACACCAACATGTCGTCGAAAAACTGAAATGCCAAACCCTATTCAGAGTAAGCATCTCTATACTTTAAGAGATACTATAAATGATGATCATTAGATGGTCATAGGCTGATCATTAGATGGTCATTCAAATAATAGTATTTAAAATGTTTAATTTATCTTCAGGTACATACTGTGACCCTCTTGGAGATAACAACATCTATGGGAGTCTTTTTCCAATGGTTGATAAAATTGAAAATGATGAAGTTATTATGGCTGCAACTAGGGTTTTACTTTATTTTAAATGAATTTGAGAATACAATTTATTTTTGAAAATATTTTTTTTCGTATAACCTTACCTTGGTTACCTTGGCTATCTTGATTACTTTAAGTAACAACAATTACTCAATTTTTAATTTAGCTTGACAGCACAGCATTTTTCCATGATTTTGCACCTGCTGCTGATAATGGTGTGACAGGTATTGTGACACTTCTTGCTGCAGCTCATGCCTTAGGAGATTATAAAAGATACATTATTGTAGGTTTTAATTTTATTTGGCTTTTGTTTGCAACAATATTTTGTTTTTTTTCAAATCTTTCAATTTTCCTAGTTTTTTTTTTTTTCAATTTATAAAATTTAACAAATATTTTATATGGAACATCACTTTGTTTAACAATATTGAGCAAAGTAATGCAACAACAACATGAAACATGATTTTTCTTATCCAGAGGAGTTTTCTCAACAATACAATTTTTTTCCTTGAAACAACTAGACAAGTTTTTCACCTGTAACAACGAGACAAATATATTTTCCTGCTATAGTTTTTTACTCTCATTTAAATGTATGTCATTGGTGTTTTTGAAAATTTGTATGTGTTCCCAACAAAGGTTCAACTTTGTAGACTTGAAGGTAAATCTTCCAACAACCTTCTACAAGGAAGCTGTTGGATTTTTACTTATAATTATAGGTTGTTATAGGTTTTTTCCATAATTTCAATACAAATTCAGTCTTATGTTTAAAAAAATAATATAACTCTTAATTTAAATAAATATAATTTAGTTTTAGTTCTTAGTTGTTGTTATCAATTTTTTGCTCTCTGATTTTTGCTGATTTTTTTGCTCACTTTTTGATGTGATATTTTTTTTGCTATAATCATTTATTGTACATACACCTGTAAAAAATTCTTGACTTACATAAAAAAAAACTCTTTTACGAACCCTTTTTTTCGACTGCATAAAAAAAATTCTTTTAAAAACCTTTTGAATATAACACAATTTGTTTTATCTTCAAATGGTTTGTAAAATGTTTATTATATCAATATAATTATAAATTATTATTTATAATATAGATATTTAAAAATTATTATAGCATATTATATATTATAGCATATTTAAAAATTTCATATTTGTTATTGAGATATTTAGAAAATAAGAAAAGTCTTTAAATTCTTTTTTAATTGTAAATTACCTACATGTTAATTATTTACTTGAAAAAATAGAATGATTTTTGTTGAAATCAGAACTAATTATATCATTGATATTACATATCTTTTAAAAGATTTTATATAAGTTTTTAGTGTTTTATAAATTTTTCTTTCCTTTTCTTCTTTATGTTGATAATGCTTTTTCTTCTTTATGTTGCAGAAAACATTTTGCATGGATCAACGTCTTCTAGTAAATGTATGATGTTCTCATGTAAACATTTGCAAGAAAATTTTCCCAAGCACTGATGTTTGAAAAATGAATAAATGTTTTGTGAGCTTAAAGAAACATTAGCAACAAAAAAATATTGAATGATGAGTTTTAGCTTGAACAGGAAATGCAACCAAAAATAAATGGGAATTAGTATTTTTTATGACGTATCTAAAAGCTAAGCATTCAAGTTGGTTTTCTAGTTTGTTTTTTTTGAAAAGAATTTTTTTTTGTAATATTAAAAGGAATGTCTCAGATGCCCAAAACTAGTAATTGATATTGAATGTCTCAGTTATCCAACACTATTAGACATTCTATTGTCTATGAAATTACATGGTATACATCATTTTTTTAAGTTAATGCATTGTATAGATGTCTAATGGACTTCTGTGCCCACTGGATTAAAGTAAAATGATTTATTGATAATTGAAAGTCTATGCTTTTTGCAAGTCCACATTTGATTAAAAATAATGTCAATCCAAAAGGGCATTAATTGGTCATTGTTGATGACAGATACATTTTGATAATCTTCTACTGAAAGTAGAAGTAGTAGATAGTCTACTGAAACATCTCTCATCATAAGCAGATCTAAAAGGGTGAGTCAAATTGATTTTGTAGACTATAGATAAGTTATGAAAACATGATAACATCTATTTCTCTATTAAGAATAGTTGCACGTCTTTCATTTTTAGTCCGGTTGTGATTGCTGGAGAAATTGATGCATACACATCTCAAAATAGTGATAAGGTTTCAAGTGGAGAGGGGGTGTTATATGGGTTTTTTAAAAAAACATTTTTAACACATAAAAACAAATCTAAATTGCTCCACATTGTTGAAATTAGTTAATTTATAGTTTTTTGTTTTTTTCTTTTGAAAGTAAAAGTTGTTTATTGTACATTATAACTACAAGAGATATTTTCTTAAAACAAAATGTCTCTGTTTTGTTTTATGCCATAAATGCGTGCAAATTTGTATAGCAGTTTTTTTATTGTTACCTATTTCCAATTAAAATAAACCCAGAATTTTTCAATGAGAAGATTATATTTTAGGGGGCGCCAGTTGACTGGCTCAAGAAGCACGGAAGGGGGGGGGGTAGGAGGGCAGCTTGACCCCCCATGTCCTATGCTGAATCTGCCACTGACTGTATATTTTTTTAAATTGAAGTCATTGTCAACAAGAAATGAAAGCTGAGCCATGAAATTGTGTTATGAGGATTTAAGTGTTAAATTTTACTTCCTGCTGTTTGCTAAGGTGTTAACTGGTGTTAACTTTTGACAGGGATCTCAATTGTGTTATGTAAAGAGCCTGGTTACTAAGGTGTTAACTGGTGTTTATGTAGAGATAATTTATGTTTGTTGGTAATGTGCGGTGTTTAGTTCTTTTTCCTAGTGTTACTTTGTTGAATTATGTCTGTTATTGAGGAATTTAATTGTGTTTATTGATGTGATTGTTTTTAGAGATTTAATGTGTGAAATATTTTTTTTTAGAGTGAAAACATCACTGAAAAGTTAAAACCAATTGTATTTACTTTTTTTAATGGAGTAAGTTCTTTTTACTGTTTTATACTTTATACATTTAAATGGACAAATTCTTTGTAATGTGAAAGTAATGGTTTTTTTTTTGATTGATAACAAGATATATGCTCTTTTAATATTTTGAATTTTTTTTTTTTTTTTATTATTAAAAAAAAGTTAATTGTTTTTTTGTTATTATTGATAACAATTTAGTCTTTTATTACAAGTTACTTTTTTGATTCTTTCATATGGTTCTTTTGTAAGATTTATTTATAAAGTGTTTAATTTATAGAAATAATATATTTTGTTTTATAAAAATTTTATATAAATATATATACCTTATTCATCTTGTATTTTATATATAAGGATACTTTTGTATTATAATTTATATATAAGGATAAGGATAAATAGTTTATATATAAAGATACCTTTTTCACAAAAAAGTTCATAGAAGTTAAAAAACATTGTTCAGCTATGACCTCAGAATGTTATTAAATTATTATTATAATTTATTTAAAAAAACTAATCAGATAAATGGAAAAAGGCTATAAAAGAAATAAAAGGACAAGTTCTAGTGAAAAATGGGAGAAATGAAATATAAAAAAATGAAATACAATAAACAGGTGTTTAGAACAGATTAAAGGCTAATAAACTTATTTGATACAAGTTTTAATTATACTAAATTTAGAATACTCTAGCTTCTAACATTTTTTGATACAGTTTTAGGAATTATTCAGAGAAACAACATTATAACGATGTGATAATGGTTCGAGGTTAGCTGCTAGAGCAGGTCCAACTATGTTTGGAGTGTATTTTTGCACCTTGTCTAAGAGAGAAAGCGCATCATTCAAAGATTCACCCCAGATATTGCAACAGTATTTCATACAAGGAAGGATTTGAGATTTATAGAGATAAAGAATAGAATCCTAAGTAAGCAAGTGGTGAGCACAATAAAGAGAGGAAACTTTAGCAGATGCTAATTATGCAATTGGTTTCCAAAATCAGAAAGGTATTTGCAAGAAAGATCGCTAAAGTTAATCCTATGAGATGATAGGTAGATGACTCATTTAGTACATTACTGTTCATAAATATATGAAGAACTAGATTATTGCAATAACGATTGGTTAAAAAATGTTGAGTTTCATTTGAATTAAAAGTAAATGTGACACAGTGGTTAGAATTCTGGACTCAGAATCCAGAGGTGCGAGGTTCAATTTAAATGCTCTCTCTCTCTCTCTCTGTGTTTGTTTGACTTGTTGAAAAAAAATCAGATTTTGAAAAATAAGGTTTTACAAATAATCATATAATTTGGAAAATGCATTTACTAAAATGTCATAAAATCATTTAAATTTTTAATAGACATTTAAAATAGTTTTATTGTTTACGACATGGTATTTAAATTTTGTTTTTTATTTATGACATGGTACTTTAAATTTTTAAATATCTTTTTCTTTTTTTTGCTTCATTTTTTTAAATTACTTTTTTACTGGTGGTTAAAAACCTCTTTTTCATGAATGATTGATGTTTTTATTTTATTATTGTTTTTATCAAAATATTTAATGTATTTATTTTTATTTTCAAGTCTTGACCACGCAAATAATATTTTGTTTTGATGATTTAACCACAGCCTTTAATAAAAGCGCTAAAAAAATTGGTTTTTAATTACGTTGAAAATAAATAACTTTGACACGTTTATCTTTATATTAGCCAAACACTTTTAAATAGTAGCTAATATTTTTATATTAGCAAGACGCTTTTAAATAAAGTAGCTAATGATTTTAATTAAACATTCATTGAAAGTTGTATAATTTTTTATTTATATTATTTTATAAATAAAAAATTATACGACTTTATACAGCAAATTTGCTCAGACGTTTTTTTTTAACATTCTCTTTAATATGAACACAACATGTTAACAACTTTTAAGTTAAGTCTATAAGTTTTTATTTTGTTTTTCGTTATTTTTTTCACCAAGATTTTTTTTCTTCGACTTTATTTCTACAAAATTTCTCATTTTTTCAAATTTTTCAAAATTTCGACTTTTATTTTTTTTTAACTGAGTTTTGATACTGACACATTTTGTTATTGTATTTTAATGGTCTTTTTAACCCTTTGTAATGAATTTTTGATTTTTGTATGATTTTGATGTCTACAAAATTTCTCAATAGATTAAATCACTGCAATAAATTTTTCTTCTTCTTCAGTCTTTCCATTTCATTAAAACAAACAAGTGGAATTGAATATCCAGTCAGTTTCGTTGTTTTTGGATCTCTATTTTCACATACTCCATATGAAAATAATTTAGGCGTTTCTACTGAAAAAAATGGTACTCCTTTATAACTAATTCTCATTTTTTGATAATGAACAGGTTTATAAAAATTAATGATTTCACTAGCACGCAATTTTGTTTCATCGAAATTTTCAATATTCACATTTGACATTTTTTTATATATGCAAGAAAATTATTTATATCATTTTCAAAAAATTATTTTATTTTTTTCAAAATAAAATAATAAAAAGATAGTTAAATCTGTGTACTTTCATAATCATCTTCATTAAAACAAACAAGTGGCATTGACTATCCAGTCAGTTTGTTTGTTTTTGAATCTCTATTTTCACAAGGTTCTTTTATAATACATTTTTTTTTAAAGTTTGAGATATTTTTTTTAGCTTCCTATTATTAGTAATAAGTATCAAGTTATAAAAAAAATTTGCGCACGAGTTTTAATAAAGTTATAAATAACTAATTGTTACAGTTTTTCAAACGTGCAGAGATAAAAAAATATCAGAGATATAAAATTTTTGTATTTAACTAACTTTAACTCTACCAACTGAACTTTTTTTTTTTTAATTTTCATTAAATTTTTTTTTTGTAACTTTTTCTTGCAGATGAGAAGCATAAGCAATGAATTAATTATTTTTAAATAAGTTTTAAATTATCAATTGTGCATTTAATATTTATTTTTTTCTTTCTGTTATTGAGTTGTAATAGAAACATCAAATGTTAACCCATCTTAATAAAGGCGAATAAAAAGAGACAAACAATAGCATTTATAAATTAGTTTTATTTTAGTATTAAGTATTCAGTTTAAATTTTTTTGATATTGTATAATATTTGTTTTGATATTAAAAATGAACAATGGTTGGTTGCCCCCGTAAATCAGATCTCAAAAACAGTCCAGGGCCCGAGATGTCCGACCATTAAATTGAGCTCTGATACGGTATGGTTTGCAATGAATATTAGTTCCTTTGTTTTAACTATTTGCAGCTGATTTTTTTAGAAATTATTAAACGATAATAGATGTTCAAAATATACTGTAAATATAATGTTTTAATTGCAGACTTTGCGGTTTACATGGATTTTAAATTTACCAAAATATACATTTTTTCAAGTATTTTCTTCTAGTTAAATATAGGGAATATTTTATAAAATTTAAAAAAAAAAATGAACATTTGAACTACTTTTAACAATTTAGGTAGCAAATACGATTGCATGATGAAAAAAAAAAAATTTGTCGAACATGTATTATTAGAGATTAAACAAAAATAGTGACACTATTCTTTTTGATAACATAAAAAAGGGAACTTTAAAGTTGGTTTATATTACTTTATTTGCAGCTGATTTTTTTTTTTTTTTAAATCATATATGAATATTATGGTTTAATAAAATCATATCGATCGAGTCCATGAGTTTTAGGAAGAAGTTGAAATTGAAAAAATACTTTTATTTTATGCTAGTTTCAAACATAAATAACTTATGCAAATATACAATAATAAAAAGTTATTATTTCAGTTTAAACTCTATGCTATAAAATTTGTTTAAAAAAAAAATCTATATATATGTACATATAGTTTTAAATTTATACACAAATTATTCATCGGTTTCTATACAAGAAATTATTCATCGGTTTCTAATTGCTCTTGGATACGGTTATTGATTTTTCTTTCAAGAAAAGTTATGAAATCTATACATTTTTGAATTGCCTGGACAATTTTGTATTTAAAAAATTATAAAAATAACAAAAATTACAGACTTTTTTTTTTAATTTTGGCCCAAAATCAAGTTTTTTAGACCACTGTGCATTGTTGTGATTCAACACTGTGTGTGAGGATATTTAACAGAAAGTGACATTTCTCTAAACTGACAAATTTTTTTATTTGATAGGCTCATTGTGACTGGTGAATCAGATGTTTTAACCCAATTAAAAGGTTCTACCCAGTCATTTCCACTGCGGTTAATAGCAGTTACTAGCAAATGTTGGTTCCATTGTCTTTTTTTTACACTGAAGGATTATGTCAATTGCCCTAGGGTGTTTGCCTTAATTTGAGTCAGCTAACATTGCAAGCAATAGGATACTATAGCTATTGTGACAAACAAAAATCAATACAATGCATACTTTGTTCATTATGAAAACATTGGAAAGATCCTTCAGAAGCTGAGTTGCCATTTAAACATGCTTTGCACCATAATTAGATAGGGGGACCCTTTAATGCAAACTAGTTTGGACTGTAGTTGTTCACTATGAGGTGTGTGATCACACCAAGTTTGTCTGTAGAGTTCTGAGTAGCAATATACAATCACCAAACTGATCAGTGTCAACCATCTTGCATGATTTAAAACACCTATTTTTGTCAATGACACATTATCAGACACAATACCACTTTTAATTGTATTAAATACGTGATAGCAATACATTTGGTCTGTATCTCTAACACATAATTAGTTAAATAAGAATTACAATTGGCATACTGTCTCAGCATTCCATTGGTTGGAACTGAACAATTGGTTTTGATTTGCATGTTGCAGCACCATCAAAATATGTAAATAAGTTGTGCAAAGGCTACTCGTATGTGTGCAACATATAAATGAACCAGTTCACAGGCGTTCAAGAGCTAGTTCAACTTGGCATGGTTATTCGACCTTGGGAACCAGTGTTTATATTTGTACTGTCGCATCCCATGCTACAAACAGTATGATTTGTAACTTGTTCTGAAATGACTAAGATAATGCTGCTGATGAAGATACTTTTTTCCAATGTTGTTGTAATATGGGAGAGATGCTCCCCACTTGGTTCTACTACCACTTCATAATTTTCTTCAACAGTTACATTGTTATGCCACTTATTGTCTCTGATAACTTTTGGTAAAGTTCTATCTTTTCTCCCATCAAATTAAATGTCTGTGATGCTGTCACATGTTTTTTTTTATTTTATACTAAATCACTTCATTAAGGCCGAGAAGGCCACTATAAATGTTATCGATTGTTTTTATCTATTTATATTAACTAATTTCATTAATGATATGTAAGAATTTCTTATAAAAAATTTAGATCAACCTATTACTTGTAACTTTTCCTTTCAAGTTTTTATTGACATGAGTTAATAAGTTAAAACAATTAAAATTATCAATAAATAGTTTATATATATATATATATATATATATATATATATATATATATATATATATATATATATATATATATATATATATATATATATATATATATATATATATATATATATATATATATATATATATATATATATATATATATATAGATTGCATTTCCTCAGCTTTATTTCTTACTGCTTATATTTTCTATGGAAGAAGTTGTATATTTTAAATGTTGTTTTAAAAAAAAGATTTTGGTTAATTTTAAGTTTTATATTTAAGGAAGTGTGGGACTACATTGGTTCATCAAAGATGGTATATGATATGGAGAGAGATAGTTTCCCTTACAGCTTAAAAAAAAGTAATACAATAAAAAATAGTTCAAAGCCTGATGATGGAGCTTGGACGAGCAAGTTTAACCTAAAAAATATAGCTTATTTTATGGAGATAACTCAGGTTGGTTTGAGTGATAAGATTTATGCTCATACTGATCCAGTATCACTAAAAGATAACGTAACTATGAATAAGGTATGTTTAAAAATTGTAACCATAATGTGTTCAAACATTTTTAAAAAGTTGTTTACAAGAGGCCATCAAAAATGCAAACTTAGTTGTGCTAATTGAAAATTGTTTGCAGTAATGTTAGTCAATATAGTTCTTGACCATGTTTACTTATTTAAGACTAATTTTATTTTTCAAATAAGCATTTTAATATTATTTGTTTCATGATCTACAGTTAACTATAAGTTGTTAAATCCTTTTCAGAATTTTAAATCTTTCCATTGTTTTTGATCATATTCGATATTAATAACAATATTGAAATATTGTTAGCCGAGAACCAAGGGCCAAATCTCCACAGGGCACAAGGGCACAAATACTGACAGTTGTTTTATTTAAAAATTTAATATTTTCAGATCTAATATTAAGTTAAGATTTTTTTTTTTTATTTTTACTGATTTTTTTAATTACTATATATATATATATATATATATATATATATATATATATATATATATATATATATATATATATATATATAAATATATATACATATATATATATATATACATATATATATATATATATATATATATATATATATATATATATATATATATTATATATATATATATATATATATATATATATATATATATATATATATATATATATATAAGTAATAAAAATTTGTTTGAAAAGGTGGTTTCAATCTAAGTGGTGCTAATTTTGAATACTTTTTTCATCAATATAAAGAGTACATAGATATAGCTCTTTGCAAAGTTTGTCAGATACATAGATAAAGTTCGTTACAAACACGTATTTTGTATATAAAGTTTATCAGAAACAATAAAGTATTATGAATTAGTGTTTTTTTTTTCAATTCTGGATCAGCTAAACGAAACCTTTTTTTTTCTAAAATTGTAGTTTGGAAGTGAAAACAAATTGTGTTAAGTTTTTATGATCCTACAAAGTTTACAACCCTCCTCGAATTAAGCGGGGGGGGGGGGGGGGGGGTAAATGGCTAAAATTTTATATGGTCATAATTTTTGAAAATAAGAGGTTATTGCATGAAATTTGTTGATGAATATAAATTTATATAAAAATAGTAGAAAATATATTTTATAAACTCATTGTTCCCACTTTAAAAACTCATTGCTCCCACTTTTGGGCTGGTTGGGTCCAAAAATTAAGTTTTTTTTGTTCCCAAACTCCAATCACTGCGATTCTTTGCAAAACGTTCTCATTTGACACAAGCATGAACATACAAAAGTTTGGAATCACAATAAAAACCTATAAGTGTCAAACATCAAACAAAAACTAAAATTCCAGTGTACACCTCTGAAGTAGTACTTCTGTGTGGTCTGGATCAAAAATTGCAAACAATTAGTAACTCATTTTTAAAATATCTAGGATAGCAAAGGGTAACAATAATGTGTGAAATATATGATAAACAGTATGTGAAATAAATGGTGATTTAAATTGATTTGCTTTAAATGACAAATGTTGACCGTCTTTGGTCTGCTAAAGATATTTGGTTTTTTGATTATTTAGCAGTGGCTTCTTGCTTGTTCCAAAAAATCTGATTGGATTAGAGAAAACTTTACGCAAAACCTGATTGGACAACTTCACACTACTATTAGAAACATTAGCAGCCGTGGCGCAGTGGTTAGAGTTCTGGCTCAGAACCCAGAGGTCCCAGGTTTGACGCAAGCTCTAGCCCAACAAGCGACATTGGTATGGAAGGAGGCGTGAACTTCCGGTTAAATGCTTTCCCGCGGTGCTCTATGATAAGACTTTAATAAATAAAGACTTCTGGGAACACCTAAATACAAAAAAAAAAAAAAAAAAACATTGATATTTTTTGCTTTATTTGCTTTAAAGTTAAACTTTGTTTGCTTTTCATGCACATAAGCTATCAAAATGACAGATAACTGTTTTTAAACCAATCAAAATAGTATGACAGTTATAACAATTTTTCAACAGAGTTAATTTAAAATTATTTGGGAAACTATACTACTTTTTTTCTGCCAAAACATACTGAGAAAATTTTTAAAATTTATAATAGGGCTTTGCATAATTTTTTTCATAAAGTTTTAATAGCCCTATTAAAACTTTATGAAAAACTTTCTGAGAAATTTTATAAGGTAGGTAAATTTCATTTTTGGCTTTGGCTGGATTAAAGCTGGATTAACATACTTATATAATATAATTAATATAGACCCTTATTAAAATCTCAATGTAACAAGTGACATAAAGTTTTATAAAATTGTTAATATAAATTTTATAAAAATTGTTTTTATATATATATATATATATATATATATGTATATATATATATATAAATATATATATATATATACATATATATATATATATATATATATATATATATATACATATATATATATATATATATATATATATATATATATATATATATATATATATATATATGTATATATATATATATATATATATATATATATATATATATATATATATATATATATATATATATATATATATATATATATATATATTTTATTTT